TTTCTCCCTCCCTCCCCTCCTTCCTCTCTCCTTCACTCCTCCCTCCCTGCTTCAGGCCAATTTGATACAGTATTTTGCATCCACCAAAGCATCTGCTTGGAGATTATGAAATCTCTGGTTTCTTGTTAATTTGTGTTCAATCTGGTTTTTTTTTTCAGACCCTCCCAGCAAACTGACTATCAGTGATTCCAGCCCCATCGCGATTCAAGGTCGTCCGTTTGAACTGTCATGTCAGATGAACGACCTTGGAAACCCTGAGGCAGACATCACTTGGCAGCCTGACACAGAGGGGGTCATCACGCAAGGTCAAGGTTCAAGTACGATACAGTTTAACAGTGTGGATCATCGGACTATGCCGCGGAAAATTAAATGTTACCCAACCCAAGATGGCAGTAAAGTGAGCGAAGATGCACTACAGAACCTGGGCGTCTCTGTGCCTTTAGAAATATATTGTGAGTACTGGAGTATTTCGTGGATTCTGTTTAGGCCACACTAATTTGATTATATGGATGTATGGCAGGCTGAATTGAGTGTGGAAAATAAAAAAAAAGTTGCTTTAATTTTAGGATTCTATATTTCATGTTGTTACAGACTAAGCCTGAAATAAAGAATTTGAACAGAAAATAAACATTCAAATTACCTTTAGTTAGTTTATACTCAGTCAAACTGACAAAAGTATACTAAACAATTTGTTTCCTTATCTTGAAAGTTTATCTGTGTTGGTACTTCATTATGAAGCAAGTTTGAACTGTTATTCCCAACACAAGAAATTGAACTCAACAAAACTTACAGTTCAAATTTTCTTCATAAGTTTGTTTTCTATATTTTTCAGACCCCCCAGAAAGTGTACAGATCCAGAGCCCGCACAGTTCCACAGTCCTGTTCACAAATATCGGTGACAGACTGGATCTCAACTGCACAGTGGGACAATCCAACCCCACCCCAACCATATCATGGTAACATTTGGGTTCTTATCTGTATCTGTATCTGTATAGCCGGTATAACCGCCTTTCGGCGTAACACACCAGCTTCGCAGGCACGCGGCGCGGCGGCAGCTGTCTACATTACACCTATCGACTTTTTACACCTAGCCCTTGATCATCTAACACTAGGCATTGTTTGAAGCTATCTAATGACAATGCCCCTACTGTACTTGGTGACAGCCTTATGCCTAAGGCCTAGGCCTAGGAAAAAAATGTTTGTGTATCCTGTTTCCCGACCAACCCTAGAAAAATAGCCGACCCTATCCTTTTTTTTGGTGGACCCCTGCAAAGGACATATTAATTTTTTGAGCTGATCGACCTTTTCTACCTCCATGATCTGACACCTGAGGGATGAAAAGTTGTACAATCGGTTTTCCAAAATTTAATCTAAAATATAAGTGTCCTCGTGCAAGTTTCAAGTTTTACTTTGGCCTGACTATATACATGTAACATTTAGTGTACATAATATCACCAGGGTACATAATATCGCCACCTTGAGAAACAGTGTGCTTAAAGATATTTCTACTGCAACATACTTTTTGGTATGCACTCCTTCATATCTCAAATGTAGGACGTTGCAGTAAAAATCTCTTTAAAATTTAGATATTACTACTATTTCTCAAGGTGACGATACTGTATTATGTACACAGACGTTACATGTAAATAAGCTACATGTAATTTCATATAAGTTTAATCTTATATATCCATATATTGGCTTGTTACAGGTGGAGGAATGATGCATTGGTGCAGGAAGGAGACTCGAGATTGTCGATCGCACAAGTTAGGCAAACAGATATTGGGCAGTATGTGTGTAAGGCAAGGGTAGATGTACCAAGTTTGGGCATACACTGGAACGTGCAGAGCGGTCCTGTCACAGTGTTACTTGAATCTGATGGTGAGTTCCTGTTTTGAGGTTACATATACACTTTGAAAACTGTGTTTGAGAGATCAGTGCAGCACCCCCAGATATGCACAGTTCAGATATGGAGAAGGCCAGGATTATATAATCTCTTTTAGACACAACTTTTGAGGATGGCAGATAGATGAACATGTATATAATATGTATGACACGGTGGAATTAAGTTGGTAGATATCGGAAAGCAGAATAATTTGCTGGTTGTGTTGCTAGGAGTTTTGTAGCTTTCTTGCAGTCTTGAGCCATATTCATTGATATCTAAACCTTTCACAGTGCTTTCTATTATTACTATTGTATTCCCAACAGTACCTGTCCTTGGTGCTGAATACGTCTTTCCAATGGAAACAAATAGAAGTCTTGCTTTACTAGAAATCAGGGGAAGGATCTTATTACAATTGCTGACCAATTCCTGATATCTATATTATGTCATAATCAAAACCTTACTTTAAACATCTAACAAATCTGTATGTAAGTATGTGATGCAATTATGCTAAAATTTGTTGCGACTGTTTACAGCTCACATTACAACCACTGCCCTACCTTCCACTGCTACAACTCCACACATTTCAACTGCAAAGACAACAGACATGGCACCAGTAGTGGCAGCAGGTGTTCAAGAAAACAGTTCATCTAAAGACCACCAGGTCTTCACCATGGCAGTTATCATGAGTTGTGCGTTTGGAGGAGTGATGTTCCTGTGTGTGGTGATTATAGCAGCATGGGTTTACCAACACAGGAAAAGATCACCTAGAACATCTCAGCTTCAACTTCAAGGTAAAAACTGACTTCTTCTACAGTATCTCACATTCCCATGCCATGTCATTTAACAGTTACAGCAATATCATACATGTATAATATAATGTTAGTAATAGTATATTCAATACAGTGTCTATGTACCATGTTAATGGATTATAAGATGCTTACATGTACATGTACTTCAGAATACAATGTACCTGCATGCTTTTTTTGCTTTAGGAATCTATCTACCAGACATGAGAATTAAGTACTGTAAAGGGATTCTGAGTACATATGATTGGTAAAAAATATCTGTTTTATGTTTCTAGAGACTGGGACAAGCCTAAATGGAGAAGACAATGCACCAAGGCAAGAGGTAAAATGCTTGTTTGAAGGCTTTTAGTTATTACCCATTACAATATTTCAGAAAACTATTCAAAATAAAATGTTGATATAATAGAATTATTTCTCTTCAACAGACTTCTCTGCCCATCCTGTTGCCAGAGTACAGCATCCAGACTATTGATACAGGTGGGAGAAATACAATATTTATAGTGCTTAATACATGGAACATTACCTGCATATTCAATATAATTGTTACACAGTATCATGCCCTGGGTGTAAGGATATGGTCATGAGGAATGTATGAAACATGAACCATGGTGTACTAGTGAATGGTATGAGCAATTCATTAAGGTGTAAACTATATCTACTTCTACCAACCTACCATCAAGCCCCAGCATCACATAAGTGTGCAAGTACGTCTAACCCTCAATGACAGGGAACAACAGACATTAAACCAGATGGAGAGAAAGAGAGCCAGAGAGACAGAGGGAGGGGGAGAGAGAGGGAGAGAGAGGGGAGAGTCGAGAGAGAGAGGAAGAGGGAGAGAGGGAGGGAGAGGGAGAGAGAGAGAGGAGAGAGGAGGGAGAGAGAGGAGGGAGG